GGTTCCTGTGGGACCTTCTAGTGGTGAAGACCTAGCAGCCGGCATATTAGGGGGGAGGAGTGTCTTGAATGACAAACTTAGAGGGGGTAGATTTTACCCTATGAATAGTGTAGGGGAAAATGTTACAGAAGAGAAGCAAGATTAATATATATGTGGAGATGCTCATAAATATTTGTAATCAGAAAAAGGAAAATCACCCTGGCTGGTGTGGCTCAGTAGATTGAGTGCTGGCCTGAGAACCAAAGAGTCACTGGTTCAATTCCCGGTCAGGGCACATGCCTGGGTTGCAGGCCAGGTTCCCAGTGAAGGGCGCGGCAATGTGAGAGGCAACCACACATTGATGTTTCCCTCCCTTTCTCCTTCCTTACCCCTCTCTCTAAAAATAAATAAAATCATTTAAAAATGTTTAAAAAGAAAAGGAAAATCAAGGCAATAATGAGGTGTCACTTTAAACTGGATATTCCAGGAAGCATTGGAAAGCTGAATAATTCCCAGGGTTGGCCAGGATGCAGGGCTTGTCTACGACTGGTGCCCTCCTCGTGGGCTGTGGGCTAGGGCCGCTGTTCTGAAGAGCAGCCTGATACTTCTTAGGTCAACTAAATAAACATATCATCAGAACCAGAAATTGTGCTTCCAGGTATATATCCAAAAGAAATTCCCACACTACAAGAGTGGACACAGAAACTGCAGTGGATTCATTCCATGGAGAATGCTGCAGCATTAAGTGGACTAAGTGGGATTTAAATAACCTATACAAATGGGAGTAACTGCAAGAACTTTGTCAGTGTCAGTGGAGAAATGAAGCCAAACAATAACCACCAAATCTAAACTGTCAACCAATTATATTGTCTGTTTTTTAACAGCAAAATTGCCTTACAGACAATTAGGTATGTGGGGGAAAATGCCTGCAGCAAAGATGCTAATGGCGAAAATGGTGGGCAGTAATAAATCACATCAGCTGAGAGTCTATTTGGTTCTTTAAGATGACTACATTTTTTTTTTTTTTGTCTAATCCTAAAAACTCTGGCCCTACCAGCTCTTTATACCTCATCTTTACCTTTATTATCTGCCTTTATTTCTACATTCTGGCTATATTCTCCCTCCATCCACAGTGATTAGAGAGTCTGTAAGAACTAGATTTGGTGAAACAGGCATCGACTGTGGTTTTTATGTCAGGTCCCAGCTTCAGTCTTCCACACAGACCTCCTTTGATTCTTAAAACATTCCTGCAATCTAGGGACAAATTCTCAGTAACATTTAGATGAGAAGATTGAACTTTGGTAAAGCTAGAATTTGCCATGGTTCATATAGCCTAGAGTATCTGTCTATCTATCTATCTACCTATTAAAAATCAGCCTTTCTGCCTACCTATTATCCTCTGATCATTTTGGAGGAAATGATACATGCTTATTTTAAGCAATTCAAACAATTTAGAAATGCTAAATGAATATAACAAAAACCAACATCTATGCATCATTCTTAAATTTCTATGAACATTTTTTCTGATAGTTCTCTGTACATCCATACATATTTATATATACTAGTAACATTCTGTATATATAATAATTCTTTGGGCCCCAGTAGAGAGAAAACTTGTACATTAAGAACTAGAATATAAAGTTCAGAGTGAAAGGCTGCAAAAGAAGAAAATAAGAATGTAGTGGGCGGCTCAGGAGCATGTAGCCTGGGTGCCTGGGAGGATAGCGTCCCTGTGCAGAGAAGTGAGGAGCCTGGAAAGAAAAGGTAAGACTTCAGACTAGTCAATTGCGAGATTTGATTGCTCAGTGGGACACTTAAGTGCCTCTGTTACCCTGGTAACGGAGGTAGAACCTCGGAGTAAATGTTATATGATCATTTAAATACATTCTAGTGGTAGTTCTGATTTCACGCAAGGAGGGAAGAGTGGCAGATCAGGAGTGCGTTTTGGAGAGCCCCTGTGCCACTTGGGTGGAAATGAGAAGTTGTTATTTTGTTAGCAAAGTGTTAAAATAGTATCATATTCCTTATTGTTACAGATGGTTAAAAACTTTTTTTAAAACAGCCATTTATTAATGCAAAAAAGGTGCATAATGCATATTCTGTAATTTGGCAATATTCAGAGGCTGCATATAGTAAACAGAGGGTTTAGTTAAGCCATTTCATAGTAGTATTTAGTGGAGTAGGAGGACCAGAACGAGGCCACTGTTGATATTACTGTGAAGGACATGTATAGTTATTGGTTTAAGGACAAGATCTTGGAGTAATTTAAGAGAAAAAAGAAACATAGCTATTGATTACAAAATTCAATAGTATTAAAAATACAGACCAATGATATTCTGTAAAACAAGCCAACTACAGTTTTTATTCATACATCTTTTTGTTTACCCTAAATACTTGGAGAAAATAAGCTTTTACCTTTTTCCTCTTGTAATATTTTGTACTACAGCTAACTTACTAGGTTCATTCACCTAATTTTTGTTTCCACTAAAGAAAACAAAATTCAACATTATGGTGAACTAATATAGGGTAGTATATACTCAGATTCTAAATACTTTTGTTTCATTTAAAGAAAAAAGTGTTAGATCAGTGGTTCTAAAATCTTTAAATGTGTATCAGAATCACCTGTAGGATTTATTAAAACACAGATTGATAGGTTTTACCTGCCAGAGTTTCTCTCATTCAGTAGGTATGGGGTGGGTCCAAGATGTTGTAGTTCTAACAAGTTCCCAGGTGATCTGCTGCCCCAAGCTAGATTATAGGTCACACTTAGAACCAGCAGTTTAGCCAGTGGATAGTTTTCCCTCCACTCCTCCTATCATTCTTTGCTTTCTCTTCAAATCTTTAATAAGTTCTTCTCCAGAGTATCTCAGTGAAGCTCAGATATATCCAATTTACATTGCCTTTAAAGTTAAAAAAAAAACTGTAGTGACATTTGCAATAGAAGTGCTATCAGTTGCAACTGAGATTTTAATTGAAAGGAAAAATGAAACATCTTTAACACCTAATCCTCTGATTTATTTCTCACCTGGAGCTCTTCACAAATGTTCTTGCAGCTCTTTCGCTGGTCCTCCTCCTACCTCTCGCCTTTACTGTGTGTCTCAGTAAAATGGCTGGCATTCTGCTCCTTATTCACAGCCTGACCCAAGCCCCACCTCCACAGCCATGCTTTCCCACTTCCCAGCAGCCAGTGGCTTCTGCAATTACTATATTCTAGTGGAAGGATTCCAATAGTAATTATCGTCTGTATTTATTTGTTTATTTAATGTTCCAAATCTTGTATTGTTTTCTGTCTTTTTCTTTAAGATTTTATTTATTTTTAGAGAGGAGAAGTGGGGGAGAAAGAGAGAGAGAGAAACATCAATGTGTGGTTGCCTCTTGAGGCACCCCTACCCTGGCCCACAACCCAGCCATGTGTCCTGAATGGGAATTGAACCCATGACACTTTGGTTCACAGGCCAGCACTTAATACACTGGGCTACACCAGCCAGGGCAGTTTTCTAGATTTCTTATCATACTAAATATATGCTATCATGTGGTATTCAGCCATATATGTTAAGTATGTATGTATATATTTTATTTATGATTTTTCTTCTCCATTCTGATAAGCTCCAGAGGGCCAGTCTCATCCTTTGACTTGCTGACATCTCCATTAAGCACCATGTTTTAAACCTAGTTCAACTTCAAGTGTTTGGTTCTGAGAACACCCAAGTACAGAGGAACAGCTGGCTTTTCTTTTGGGAGCTGACATTTCTTTTTTCTCTCAACTATTATATATCCAAATTTAGCTGTAAAATTATAAGCGTAGAATGCTGAAAACATCTTTTACTTGAAAATGTAATAGCTAATAAACTATAATTAGGCTTAAGGATTAGCGGTGTAGACCTACCACATTTCAAGAAAATATAGAAGTGGTAGTATAGAGAATGACACTTTATTTTTTACTGTGCAGATACAGAATAATTTATTTGCTTTTGCCTCACCAATGGTTAAATTGTGCTTTCTATATTGACAGTGATGTTCCTGCAGGCCTCTCATTCCTAACCACAAAGCCCCTATCGGGAAAGCTACACATCTGAATTGTTACTTGAAGATTTGCTCTCAAGACATTAAGATTATTAATTTGTTTTGCTATTATAGGATGTTTGCTATTATAGGATAGAGAATGCTCTGCATATCTATCTTTGCAATGTTGTTACTGAAAGACAGTATCTCATAGGTCCTTGACTAAATTTTCTTGGATGTAGTACTAAGAACCAAAATCTAAAAAATATGAGATACAGATCCATGTGAGGAGACTTTTTATTGAACACCAAAAATAGGAAACCAAGAATACTTTCTACACAGTGTCCAGGCAACTGCCATTTCACAACTGCACTAAAGAACTCATCTTGACTTAACATACAAGATGGGGCAAACGTAGGTTCAAAATTAAACCTACGTTTGCCCCACCCTGTATTCGGATGTTTGAACGGTTGATAACCTGATTTGAACATTTTGCAAGTACTCCTGCATCTTTTCAAGTGAGCACAGCACACAACTGTATCCTATGTTCAGGCCCTTAGAGCCACCTGGCTCACCCTCTCACTGAAGAGCTGGAGGTGAAGCCCAGGTTACAAGACTCAAAAACGATCAAGAATCAGAACTGCCATATAGATTATAAACCTAGGATGCCTTCCCATTTTGTTTACATGTAGCAAAACTAGAGATTGAGGATCAGTTGACCTCTCCTGGTTTTCATTTTCCACAGCCTAGTTTAACAAACGATAACATCAAGGAACAGCCTGAAATACTTCAACCCGGAGCATTAACCGTTTAGGCTTTTAAAGCTGAAAAAGCGAAAGGGAGCTTCTGCAACCTAAGCAGCGTCATAAGCAGCACTAAACTAACATACACCCGCCATTAAGTCCCAAATGCAATCGCCTACACTGAGAAAACAGTGCCCAGGTCCTTCAAAACCCGTATGGGTGGCCCTAAAAAGGGCCTTTGGAATTGCCGTACGCTAAAGAGCCTGTAGCAACGGCCTAACCTCCGAAGCCATACAGGGTGCGTCCCTGTCGCTTCAGGGCGTACACCACGTCCATGGCAGTGACGGTCTTGCGCTTGGCGTGCTCCGTGTAGGTGACCGCGTCCCGGATCACGTTCTCCAGGAACACCTTCAGCACGCCCCGGGTCTCCTCGTAAATGAGCCCCGAGATGCGCTTCACTCCCCCTCGCCGAGCAAGACGGCGGATGGCGGGCTTGGTGATACCCTGAATATTATCTCGCAAGACTTTGCGATGACGCTTGGCGCCACCCTTGCCCAAGCCTTTACCTCCCTTGCCTCTCCCAGACATGATAACCACAACCTGGAAACAAAAGTGTCAATGCCCGGGTCCCTGGCTCTGCCCCTGATATACGAGATCATCGGACCAGATTGAAAACCTCAAGCACATGGGCGGGAAGCGATCGAAATCGTCCCCGCCCAGCCGCAGTTTCTCATTTCGTTGCTCACGTGTCCTATTCCTTCCCCATCCCGCACACCGCCCTCTAGCGGACTCTGTCTGCCACAGCCAGGTTACAAGCCGAGGCCTCCGGATTCCGCAGTGTTTTCCTTCGGTTCTCGCCACCTGGATGCTCCCGGGAGACGTTAAATTAAGGCGAAGAGGAAAGGTCTTTCTCGGAGAGACAAGAACAAACAGTCCAGACAAGGAAAGGAAACGAGAACGCCAGCGCCAAGTCTAACCCCAAGAGGATCCCAGGCTTCAGACTGGCGACAGGAAAGGGCTACGAGCAGTTGTGGTCATTAGACTGACAGACGGACTAGAGGATCTCCAGAGCGGCACCTGGGATGTCCGGGAAGGGAGGAGAGAGAGGGAGGGAGGTCGCCCTGACGTTCGAGTCTAGTCTCTATTGTGGCTTGGGATCTCACCTCACCCGGGGGAAATGAGATCCTAGGAAAACCGGTCACATTATATTGCCAAACCTTCTCGTGGAGGTCAGTGAATCCACTGCGCTGTCGTCCAAACTTCTGGTGACAGAAGAATAGATAAAGAAGATTCAACGATATTCTGTAACTCGAGATCTAAAATCGACTCTTTTCAGCCAAGATTTTGTTTTCAAATTGAGGCCCCACACAGAGCCCAAAAGTTTGCTGAAATGGGTTTCGCATGAGGAAGGACACCTGCTCCACGTTGAGTCATTACCAGAAACTGCCCTGTGAAATTGGTTGGGACCCTTACTGATACCATGCTCATTACCAGGGCGTTGTGTAGGCAAACCCATGGGAAGATGTGGTTTCTCCATTATAAAAAAGTACAGTTTCTCTAAGAAAGGATTATTTTACTTCACTTATTTACTTATTCACTTAAACATCTTACATGCCTTCTTTCATCTCTCCTTTGGCTCTAAATACCTTCTGTATGCCAATGTATAGTAATGAATTTCAAATCTATTTTTATGCAGACTTCTAGGCTTCAGATCTGTACATCCATCCCAGTGGTTGCTCTTCACTCATTCTAAACTCAAAACTCAAACTCTCCAAAAATCAAAGTTTAAAATGAAAATCTCTAAGGTGCAACTGCCATGGGGGCTGAGAGGATTTGTTCCCTCACCCTTACCCCTTTTCTCTGTTCACTGAATGATACCACTGTGCATCACATGTTTTAAAACAACACCTTGAAATTCTCAGATATTGAAGGGTAGTAGAAGATGCCACCCCAAAATAAGACTAGGGGTTCAGGACATGCCAAACCAAAATGCTGCTTTGGTATATTGATTTTTTTGAGCCATAGGTGCTTAAAAAAACAAATGCCAGGACAGACTTTGAACTTCCCTTATCTGCCTAAAGATAGATCCCCCCTCCCTCAAAACTCAATTGCCTGGGCTGAAGAATTAAACTGTCATAAGACTGATAAAAAGGAATAAAGCATACAAATTTTAATGTTTGTATTTGTACACAGTAGCCTTCAGAAGGAAATTAAGACCTGAAGAGCCCATTGGGTCCCAAAGTGTGTACATCCCTTTTAAAACAAAACCATGATTCTGAGGCTGGGGCTGGGACAGCCAGTAGTGGGACAACAATTAGGATACATCTGGGGGGAAGTCATGGAAGATATGGGTTATTTTAGTACTATTCATTCCCAAGTATCCTTGGTTGGGGAGAGAAGGTTGTGGGGGGTCTCCGCCTGCAGGAGCTCCACCCGTAGGGCCTCCCCCCACCGGCCACCATGGATGAGAATAAGTCTACCAAGACATGATCTGCTTGGGGAGGAAAGATGGCCAATCTCTCAAAGGAGAAGGGCCAGGAGCCTTTTCCTCAATGGCCTTTTATTGGGTTCATTTGCACAGAATTCAAGGTGTTGGTTTGTACAGCTCCATTTTGATGTCAATTCCATGTCTCTGATATAATGAATATTCTTCTCTTCCTGGTACTGAAAGGGTATCTCTCAAGTGGGAAATTTTATGAGTTACTTTTAGATAAAAGGGGCAGGTCAGAGGACCCTTCCTGCACTGGCTGTTTCTCAAGTTCCTTCAGCTCAAAATCAGTTTACCAAAGTGGAATGTTTGGGGGAAGCATGTTCTGCACCCCATGAAACTCGTAGCTGCTATAGGGAAGGTGAAATTGCACTTCTGCTGTTAGGGTTTTTGGCTGGGCCTGAGAATTAAACTGATGGGAGACATTAACATGAGGAAGCACACACATTTAAGCACTGTAAGTTTTACTTGCCACGGAAGCCCTCATAAAGAACTGAAGGATCATAGCCTCGGTTAGAGCTGAACACTTACGTACTGAATTGGACACAGACTAGTCACTTGGGAAAACGTAACATGACAACAGGGTTTGAATTGGCGCATTAACAGTGGGAAAGTGACCAGGAAGGTAAGGGTTAGTTTAACACATTTTGTCTGAGGTTTCTCTTAGCTTTGCACTTGCTGTTTTTCAATTGCCTGTAACTCACAATAATCCTTATGCCCAAATGGCATATTTTAGGCATGTCATATTCTGCCACTGACGGGGTACAGGACATGCTACCTCAAAATATGGCCTATTATAGCATATTAAATATTTGAATATGGCCTTCCATATTTGAATATGGCCTTCCATATTAAATATTTGAATATGGTCTTCCCATGGACTTTCTCCCCTGAAACAGGTCATAAAACCCTCTTATGTGAGATGCTTTCCCTAGATCCAGAGGAAAGGAGCATCCCTATCTTTAAAGGCAAAGGGACACACAGAAGGGTCCTAACAGACCTTGCTGTTCCCCCCAGGTTACTATATGTACCTCATGCTCCGTAACCGGTCTCATTTTTACTCGACTGCCCACGCTTCATTCAACCTTGCATAAAAATACTCAGGTATAAGTTCATTTCTCTGATCTTCATTTCTTTAGGAAGACTTCTGTGTCATGTAACACATATGAAATAAGTTTGTGTGTGTGTTTTTTCCTGTTAATCTGTTTTTTCAGATCCAGCCAGGGACCCCAAGAGGGTGGAGGAAAACTTCACTGTATAGTGCAGGCAGTAGTGTTTTAAGTAAAGCGGAAGTTTTTAATCCAATGAACAGCATGTTAAGGGAATGAACCATCTCAGAATGTGATAATAAAAGAAGCTCAAAATCCTATGGCTTCTCAGTTTGGCCCAGGGCTGCAGGCCACTCAGGGAAGGGTATCCGGCATCTGGTCTCATCTTGGTGGCATCTGAAGCCCTGGGGGTACTTGAATCAAAGATGAAATACAAACTGTCTTCCTGGAACACATATTTTAATTTAGTCCATTACTTTTGTATTGACAACAAACCTATGAACATATAGCACATTAGGAGCCTAATAATTCACCTATAAAATATTTTCTTTTGCCTGCTTATTTCCTAAGGTAAATTTGAAGCTTCTCAGGCCTGTGTTTCCATCCTCGTAGTACTGAATAATAAAATTTCAGTGCCTAATCTTGAAACTACCGATTCTTATTAATTATATCGAAAGAAACTTCAGAAGTATTAGGAAAAAAATTCCCTCCTCCCCACAGCTGCAGCAAAGCAAAGGTTCTTCTGCATTATAAACTTGCTTCTGATAAAGTAGTTATAGAGAAATAGCACTGAAATACCATTATATTTACCAATGTGGAGACTAGGTGAAACTGAACTGACATGGACCTGCATTGTTATTAAAAGTGATTTCTAAGGGAACCATACGTCACAGGTTGTTATATTTTGAAAAGTGTTACCTATGTGACAGTATGGTGAAAAGCTAGGAAAATTCCTGAGTAAGTAGGATAGGGAAACTGAGATGAGAAAATTAGACAAGGCCAAACAGTTTAAGCAACTAATAGCCAGCTGGTGAATTGCAAGACCTTCTGTTGGGAACTGCCTTGCCTGGTTTCAGAAGCTGTAACACCCCCGAAGGCTAAGGCTGAGGGGGTGACCTTGGACCATAAGCCAGCAAGGAGACAAAAGCTTATCTCCCTGGCAGGAGCACCGCTTCTGTGCCTTTTATTTCATCCATAACTGGCCCCCAATGCTTGGTCAGTTAGCCAATGACCAGTAAGATTCCCCAAGGGGGAACGATCTAAGAAAGGCACGATCATGCAGGAGGCCCCAGGGAAGGATTTTGAGGGCTACAGCAAAAGGGGGTGATGTACCCTCGCCCCTCAGCTTTGACAAAGCCTGAGTCCTCATTCTGTCTGTGAGAAAATCTCCTAATCTCTTGGCTGCCTTACTTCCCTTGCTCCACCTAAGCCTGAAACAATGACAGAGGGTGGTGCAGCCCTGTGCTGGAAAGGGTGGGTTCCCTAGGCAATCAGGCCTAAGAAAGAATATGTAAAATCCTGTGAAACCTGCTTTGTTTAGAATGCTCTCAATTAAATGATAAGGGTCCAAACACGAAGTAAGTTTGTTCCTCAAAGTTTTACAGCTCTTTAGCTATCTGACCCTGACTCAAAATAGGCCCTCAGAGTTCTTTATCTGTTGTTTGATCCTTACTTCCTGGCAATGATTAATGAGCTTTACCTGAATTCTGTGCAAACGAACCCAATAAAGGCCATTGAGGAAAAGGCTTCTGACCTTTCTCCTTTGAGAGATCGACCACCTTTCCTCCCCAAGCAGATCATGACTTATTCTCCTCTGTGGCAGCCGGGGTGGGGGGTGGGGGGCGGGGGGCCTGTGGGTGGAACCCCCCCACAACCTTTTCTCCCCGAACCAAGGATACTTGGGAGTGAATGGTTTATATCTCTCCTCCCTAACCAGAGAACACCTAGCTGACATCTCTCTGGTCTGGGAAAAGAGAGAACAGAGACCCAGTTAATGTCACTTGTGCCAGTTAAAACTAAGGACAGATGAAGTCAGGGGAACAAATAACAAAAACACCATTAAAATCCAGACAGACCCAAGATCAAAGTAAAACAGTGTAACAGACCAAAGAATATTCCCACACCCCTGTATGTGCTCATTTTGACACATCAGCATGAAAAATGCACCTGAAAAGCTGATGAATGTTCTGCTGCCAACTTCCCCTACGATTCCCACCCACAGAAAAAAAAAAAGATGCAAAGCCTTCAGGGCAAAGACTCGGGGCGGCTAGCTGTAGAGCACGCCCCTGCCCTGCCCTGTGCATGAACTTTTTAGTTCCTCCTAAACTCCGAGGGTCCCCAGGAGACTTGCAGCCAGGGGATCACCGGGCAGCCACAGCTGGACCTGGGCTTACCCCTGGTCCTGTCTCCGAGCCCCCTGGTTTTCTCTCACTTCCTGGGAGCTAAAAGCAGCCCTGCTGGCTCACCACACCTTTCCTGTAACTCTCCTGGGGAGCCAAAGCAGAGTACCACCTCGGCTCTCTCCTGTTACTTCTTCCACCCTAAGTCCTTCCTTTGTTTTACTGTCCCAGCCTTAATAAATGTACTCTCAGAATCACCCGGACTCCCGTCGTGAAATCTTTCCTACTCAAAGTCACGAACTCACACACTACAGGCCGGCCTGAGGCAGACTGGTTCCAGGCTGGCCCCTGTCTGGGAGCACATATACCTCTTAGAAGCTGACTATTCTGATTGTTGTATTTGATTTATTGCCCTGGAATTAATATTTAAGTTTGCATCTCTTTTCTGAGAAGTAAAAATTCTTATACAATTTCATCATGAAGCCAGAGAAAGAGTCTTGGAATTTTCCTTGCTATGTTCTAAAGGTAAAGTAAATCCTATGATTTTGGATTCTATATGAATACACAGCTTGAGAATTTTTTTTTTCATATAAAGCACATACATCGCCAATAGTGCATACATTTTAAAAAAAGAGCAACCTCCCACCCAAAAAACCCCCCCAGAAAACATCGCAAAGAAATGTGACATTGGGGTGAGCTGCTTTGGGTTGTCATCTAGATGCCATAGTTTTTTTCTGATTGGAATAGTTCAGTGGAAGAAGTTTGAGAAACATTAAGTGATGTGATTACATGACGGGAAAGTTCATCAGAGTTTTAAAAGGTACCCCAAGTCTGAGGAAACTGGAAATCGATTATCATTTTATTCTCTTACTTTAGAATGTTATGCAAGCCTAGTTATTTCTATTTCATGGAATTGTGATTAAATGTGATGGTGTATAGAGAAGAATTTGAAAATACTGATTCGTGCTCTATAGATGTAAGGCATTGTTACAAACCACCACAAGAAGGGGTAACAGCCACTTACATCAGGTGTACTTTTGCAAGACATTTTAAGATCTTTTCTCTAGAATAGGCAATTGCTGCTGCCCCAGGAGCTCTTGGAGATACAAACACACCAAATTGCTACATTGTGTTTAGTGTTCAGGAAATTCCCTCACAATCACTCATTTCACTTTGACTTAAGCAGGAAGATAATCATCCATATTGACATCAAGGTAAGTTGTAGGCTTTTTTGGCTTACTTTTGTTCTCAGGTTTGAGTTTTTACAAGGTTTGGATTCAGTGCTCTTTCAATAAAATAGGCAGCTGTTTCAAAGTTTTATATTTACTACAACTTTAAGCACTGGTAACCTTACCTGAGTGCTGTTTTATGACATGCAATTTTCTGAGCAATACTTCAAAGCATATGAAATAATGACAAGGTCTTTGATCTTCAATTTCCTTGTAGAGAAAGCTTTTAAGCATTAGAAAACGCCTTAGTGAAGGACATATGCTGGCAATTTAGTAATCCATGAATAGTTTGTTTTGAATCTAACTTTTAGTCAGACTGAAGTGTAATTGGACTATTTAGAAACTCTTCACCATTGTAAGAGAGGACTTAATATTTCTGGTTTTATCTTCCTTGATTTAGGTTTCATCTGTAAGACCTACATGGTCATTCAAATGGATTGAGGAGGGAACGGCATTCCAGCGGGAAAAGGCTACAGAAAGGCCGAAGACTCCACTCTGCAAGTTCTACCAGGTCAGCATAGGCCTTGCATGGATTCTGAAGTCAGGTAAATGCAAATTAAACTTTTGGTTCTTTCCATTAACTATTGTTTTTGTTGAACCTGTCATAATGTGCTTAATGCAGTGTCAGGCACTGAGTAACTATTAACCATGGGAAAGGAGTTACAGTAACTCATGGCTGGAAATACAGGCTGCCACCGAGCCCATGTGAGGGCATGCTTGTATTTCTAAGAAACCTGTTAAAATATAAGCTCCAATGTGCAAAACCACTTTGTAGTGTGTTCTTATAAGAATTATACCAGTTTAGCCCTGGCTAGTATAGCTCAGTTAATTGAGTGTGGGCCTGTGCATCAGAGGGTTGCTGGTTTGATTCCCACTCCCGGGACATGCCTGGGTTGCAGGCCAGGTCCCCGTAGGAGACGTGTGAGATGTAACCACACATTGATGTTTCCCTCCCCCTCTTTCTCTTTCCCTTCCATTCTCTAAAAATAAATAAATAAAACCTAAAAAGAAAAAAAAAAAAGAATGACACTAGTTTAAAGGGAAGATCTTTTTATAGAGATTAGTGTAACACTCTTCTATCCCAGTAAGGATTGAATTCTAGCCAATGAGATCACAGTTCTGAAAATTCCTAGTAGCTTTCTGGCCCAATCAAGGCGAGGTTATGTGTATAAATAAGCCTGTCTAAGACACTTAGAATAAAAGCGGCGGCATTATGGCGCGTACTAAGCAGACCGCGCGCAAGTCGACCGGCGGTAAGGCCCCGCGGAAGCAGTTGGCCACCAAAGCGGCTCGCAAGAGCGCGCCGGCCACGGGCGGCGTCAAGAAGCCGCATCGCTACCGCCCGGGCACCGTGGCGCTGCGCGAGATCCGGCGCTATCAGAAGTCGACCGAGCTGCTGATCCGCAAGCTTCCCTTCCAGCGCCTAGTGCGCGAGATCGCGCAGGATTTCAAGACTGACTTGCGATTCCAGAGCTCTGCGGTGATGGCGTTGCAGGAGGCGAGTGAGGCCTATCTGGTGGGGCTCTTTGAAGACACCAACCTGTGCGCCATCCACGCCAAGCGAGTGACCATCATGCCTAAAGATATCCAGCTGGCTCGCCGTATCCGCGGGGAGCGGGCTTAAAGCGTAGTAGTTTAAGCAAACATACAAAGGCTCTTTTCAGAGCCACCCACGGTTTCTTGAAAAGCGCTGTAACGGGTTTTCAGTTACGCCGTATCACATCATACGCCAGTGTTGTGGGTAACGGGATGTTTATCAAAATCCTGATTTGGTTTTACCAGTAACATTTTCAACGGTGCTATCTCAAAATGTTAGCAAAGCAAATATGAATGCAGAAGTTGACACCTTTTGGGAAGCAAAAGTAGTTTCGGGCTGTCCAGGTTTTAAATTGTGGTTTCTGGAGCCACGCTGGGTGTTAGCTTAAGATCTTTGTTTCCCAGGTAGTTCGTTAGGATTTTAACTGATAAGAATGGGGTAACAGACATTGTAATGAGCTCCTAGATGTGTAAAATCCCGAAGACGGGCGTGAGTAGAGACAAGTTACTTAAAAAAATTCTAAGCCTTTTGTTGGTTGCTTAAGAAGTATATAAATCCAATTTTTACTTTAGTATGTTCCTCACTGCAGGACAACATACAGGTGGCGCAAACCAGAAAGGGAGCTTCAGGGAAATAATACCTGGAAGTTCAAAATAAAACGCACAGAGCAAAACTGCAAGAATAAGATACTTAACGTGTCTACCCAGCGCTGTAGATCTTTCATACATTAGTCTACCTGGAAAGTGAAAGCCAACAGCAAACAAGACCCCCAAACTAGAAACTATCACGACATAATTTACCGGTTAGTGTGAAATGGGACATTTTGATTGGTTAACAAGACTTTTGTTTAATGACCATAGAGGGAGAGCGAGCAGTATCTTATTTACATGGGCTCCACCTCTATGACGCCACTGTTGGAAATCAACCAATGAAAACTCTGTACTGTGCGAGTCTTCATTTGCATGTAGGCTCTATAAGAAGCGCGCAGCTAACTCGGCTGTACTCGCGGTTGGTTCTATTGTTGAGTGGTGGTTTACTTCGTGGAAATGCCGGATCCTGCGAAATCTGCTCCTGCTCCTAAGAAGGGCTCTAAAAAAGCTGTTACGAAAGTGCAGAAGAAGGATGGCAAGAAACGCAAGCGCAGCCGAAAGGAGAGCTATTCTGTGTACGTGTACAAAGTGCTGAAACAAGTTCACCCGGATACCGGCATCTCATCTAAGGCCATGGGCATCATGAACTCCTTCGTCAACGACATCTTCGAGCGCATCGCCGGTGAGGCCTCCCGTCTTGCGCATTACAACAAGCGCTCGACCATCACCTCCCGGGAGATCCAGACGGCCGTGCGCCTCCTGCTGCCGGGCGAGCTGGCCAAGCATGCCGTGTCCGAGGGCACCAAAGCGGTCACCAAGTACACCAGCTCGAAGTAATAGTGCACAGGAAGCAACACAACAGCTACTTTTTACCCCAAAGGCTCTTTTCAGAGCCACTTCAATTACAAGAAGTGGCTGTAAACGCTGGTGAGATTGGTAAGCTTTTTAGTTAAGTGGGTTAGGCTCATGGTCAGGGTGTTTCGGTTTAGGGCAAGATTGGGATCGTGATAAAGGCTAGTTGGCTTGTTAAAACCAGGAGTCTGTTACTAAGTAATTCAGTTTAGGTAGGTACTTAACTGGCATTTTAGTAGAAATGCACAGAACCCGGAGTATTGCATTGCCGTTTCGTAGGACACGAGTGGTGAGGGCTCTTGACACTCCCTGCGTCCCTAAGCGTGTTCAAGTGTCCTGGAGCTTTTTCTTAGCGTGTATGGAGACCTCCACTTAACATTATACAAGTCAAACCAATGAGTCCAGACCTAGCCATTTACCCTTCCTTGCTCAGTAACTACCAGGCATTTTGTCCCCCACTCCATGGGCCATCTGGCAATAATCAGAGGCCCACATGCTTGTCATTACTTGCAAAGGATACTAATTACCTGAGTTTAGGGGGTAGAGGTCAAGCATGTTGCTATGGTAAATATCCTGTAATTCCTAGAACGGTCGGTAAACAATCTGGTCCGTAATGTAGCCCCTCCTGTGTAGTGTGAGAAGCCCAAAAACCAAATTCAGAATTTACAGACTTCGATCAAGTCTTCCCTCGCTCCTACCCAACCAATACTGTTGGTGAGAGCTGAGCAGTACGCAGACTTCACATCTCGGCAGGAAAAGAACCACCTTCGTGCTTGTGAGATATTTCCAGGTGCCTCTCCTGAAGTTTCCTGATGAGGTAGAAATGGAGGTCATTTTTAGTGTTCCCAGGTGTTTTGTTTTTCTCAGGCTTTTGGGGGTATGATGTACAAAAGTCCACAGTTAACACGTGGGGTGAGCTTTTAAGTACCTGTCTGTTCAAAACTTGCATAACTCAAGACTAATTCTGACAAAGGCTTGTCGATGTTTTACCAAATCCACCCTCAAGGCAAAGGAAAGTCTTCGTTTCCAATTCACTTGATAGGCCTTGAAATGAGGCCATCCTTGACAAATTTGGAGGAACTTCCATGATGATCTTGTGCTTAAAGTGAATTTTACTAAATTACAACTTAAGAGCTCAAATTTACATCCAGTTAAAAGTTGTATAAATTGGACTGTAATATTTCTTTTCACTGGTAAGCTGGGCTTCTCAGTGAGTCATCTTATGATAGGAAAATTCACTCAAGAAATGAGAGGGCCAAGGTGTTCTATCTTCTATCTACACAAACTAAGAGTTACGTCTGGTCTCACCTAGGATGTTGAAGTCTGGATGCTCTCTTCTTAAGTACTAGTACAGTATTTCTCAGTCTTTTGAAGTGTTAGAGCATTGCCAATCTGCTCACTTAATCAAAAGCTATCATTAATTATCCATTGAGATTAAACCCTAATTCCTTATCCTGAAACTAAAGACCTACCAACTGGCCAAAACTTCAGCTACTCATTTCCACCAGTCCTCCATTTTATACAGTTTAAACATCTCTCTGGGTTTCAATCATACCATTTTTCTGTAATCAGTTGCCCTCCAGACTATTCAAACCCTATCAACCTGCTACATGCTAGTTCTTTAGAATCTTGTTCAAATCTCCCTCTGTAAAGCCTTCCCATCCTGCTCTAGTTCACAGGGAAGTCTGTCCTTTCCTCTTAAGGTTTTGTTCCTTGCACAATGAATTCACGCCCGTGTAGCTTTGTGAACTGTGTAGCCTTGTTCCAGATCTTTTTCATTGTTTTTCTTGTTTGGGTACTTAGAATCTTCCACAGAGCCCATCTCAGTGCCAATTATAAAACAGTTTCTCACTGAAAGTTTGTTGACTGCCCCAGACCATGGATATAGAACCCAAATTGATCTGAGGATGATAGGTTCAAGTATGCCAATAAATCTGCCTATACTGTTCCTTCATTTTTTCTTGCTCCTTTAAGCAGGAACACTCTTCTAAGTGCCTTTAATAATTGACCCAGTTAAAACTCGTGTTAGGGATTTAAAAGTCCTGAGAGAGGCAGATAAAGTAGGGCATTTTATAGCTTCCCTTCAGCCAATGTAGCTTTGTGGCCAAAACATGAGACTAGAATGGAGCTTTTGCAGCCCAGTGTGAAGTGCTGCTTTTCCAATGCTGTAAAGAAGGATGAGGAGGGAGGGGCATTTCAGCAGACAAAAAAGGGGGATGGAATTAAGATGAGGAGCTTTAAATTAGAGGTCCAGAAAGCAAGCAGTGCAAGCGTAGACACTGGTTTGCCTGGTCAGGTCAAATGTCATCCAGGTTGGTAAAGTCATCTTTTCAAGGATTAGTAAATGGTCTGTGGTATGTGTAGAAATCTCTAAAAATGAGTTTAATCTTCTGTGATGACTTTTAGACAAATATTTCATTTTAAAATGGGTACATTTTCTAAGAGTGATCCCAAAGTCATGCAGGCTCTTTAGACAGATCACCTGGTTTGTAGTCTAGCCCGTCTCTGTATCGGTGAGACTAAGGCAGGTTTCTCTCCGTTTGTGTCTTCATCTTTAAATTGGGGGTAATAGTAATGCTTACTCCATAATGCTTTTATGAAAGGTAAATGAATACATATAAAAATGCTTAGACTTGACAATGGACATTTCAAATGTTAGTTGTCAATAGCAGGAAGTCCTGTTGAGCGATAGGCCAGTTTTTGCATCTCTAATGTACCAGTGGTAGTATCTACTGATTTAAGGTCATGCACTAAACACGTGCTGCATTTCTCCCATCTTCCACCTCTAATTTAGAGAAAATTGACCCCCCTCCCAAAAAAAAGTTGGCAGATGGGAGAAAAGTTCAAGAACAATTATTTAAAGATCTTAGAAATTTAAAGTGTGGCTATCGATGCAAAAATTCAACAACAGAATTGAATTCAAACTAGAATAGGAATGGCTACAAGAAAATGCAGAACCTGAAAGATGAAGCCCAGAAATCTTCCCCCAAAGGCCCATAAAAAGATATAAAGATAGAAAATAAGAAAAAAAGTTAAATGGATGGATTCAGATGTTACAGAATTTATCCAATAAGAATGTGAGAAGGAAAGAATAAAAATAATGTAAGAAACAACATTCAGGTCTACCGAACAGTGTTTAAATTGGAGCTATTTAAATTATAAACTTTGTGACTAGTGTCCCCAAAGTTGTGCAGTGGGCAGCCTAAGTGGCCATACAGAAAATTTCTTGCAGAATTTTTTTAAAGACTATTTCACAGAATCTATACACATACATATTTACATACATCTTCAGGCTGTTAGGTCCCATGAAATGCTGAGCATAGAAAGGTGAATTAAAAGGACCTTCACCTAGAGACCTAATGATAAATTTCCTAATGCAAGAGTTAAGGAGATGGCACCCTGAGAAAATTCTTACAAAGAAATAGGAATCAAGTTTATATCAGACTTCTTATTTGGGCAATGCTGTATACATAAGAAGATAATAAAACAGTATTTTTTTTTAATCTAGGGAAAATAATTTAGAAACTAAATTTCTATATCCAATCAAACTGTCATCTAAGTGTGGGTAACTTTTAAGACCCTTCTGAAAGAATTTCTGGAGTTATATTCCAGCAAGAATAAGAAAAAATTCTAAGAGGAAGATACGGGATACCAGAAGCAAAGGTGGTCATGTGTCCAGTGAAATATTTCCTAAATATAAGTAAGTTTAAATTCTAAAAAAATTGTTTCAGTCTTAGAAAAACTGGTCTTTATTCATCTAGCTAATTTTATAATGGAGTAACTTTACTGAGAAATTAGAAATCAGGTGGTAGGAGAAAGATGAATCAGAAAAGGTTCAACTAACAAGATATGATACACATACCAAACTACCTGCAATACAAATTTAAAAAGAAATGTGCCATAAATGACAGATGTAAAGTGTTGTGAGGTCAGATACAGGTACCAGTGCGATAATCAGGGCCATACAGGAAGCACTGATTTATTGAATCTACCAGGTCTGTACTGAAATTTCCTCTCTGTTTTGATTAGTAATTCAAGTTTAGATTTTAGGATTTTTGTTTAGGTAAGCCTGTGATTACAAAATATTTTACATTTATGTTCTCTGCTCCACATTTTACTGTTCTGAAGAAACAAGAGCTCAAAACTATTAGAGTGACTTCAAATACAGACATCTTTTGGTGTGGCTACTCCTCCCCAAAGGGGTATTATTTATTTTTTAAATCCGGAATTCAAATTCCAGGTCATGTTATCATGGGTTGACAAGAGTGAAAAGAAATGAACAAGCTAAGTAAGAGTTACATTATATTCAGGAAGAGGATACAGAGATTATTACTCTAGAAGTTGTTAGAAAAGCATAGGTTTAAATATATATAAACAACATATGAGGTCTGTCCAAAAAATGTCCAGCCATGTAATATGAAAAATAGAGACATTTGTTGAAGATAAAAGAAACACTGTACATAGGACAATGATGCCTCAGCCCCCTTCAAAGTAGGCACCTTGGGACCTCACACAGTTCTCCCAATTGCCATCAGCTGCCCTATGGTATTTTCCTCAATCTCATCGATGGTCTGAAATCTCTTCCCTTTCAAAGGTGACTTTAGCCTTGGCTGGTGTGGCTCAGTGGACTGAGTGCTAGCCTGTGCTAGAAGGTTGTAGGTTCGAATACCAGTCTGGGTACATGCCTGGGTTGTTGGCTAGGTCCCCAGTTGGGAGTGAGAAGGGGCTGATTGATGTTTCTCTCCCTCTCTTTCTCCCTCCTTCCTTCCCCTTTCTCTAAAAATAAATAAATTAAAATCTAAAAAATAAAAAATAAAAAGGTGATTTTAGTGTTGGGAAAAGCCAGAAGTCGCAGGGTGCCAAATCTGGGCTGTAAGGGAGCTGAGTCACCTGGGTGGTTTGATGTTTTGCTAAAAAACTGTGCATAAGACGTGAGGAACAAGTAGGTATGTTGTTGTGATGCAGCTGCCAATCACCAGTTGCCCATAGCTGCGGCCTTCTGAATCATCCAAATAGTTTCTGTAGGGGAATATTCAAGCTTAATGTGAAATTTGATGCAGATTAATTGTGACAGCCACACAGTACCCATGCTCCCTCAAGGGCATCTACTGCCCCCACTGACTAGTACAGTGAAGTTGCCATTATTTACGCATGTGCATTCCAGTGCACTCTCCTTGGGTGCCAGGTTTCATCAATGTCGTGAAAATGGTTCTCACTATATTAACAATGGCTGGACTTTTTCCAGACAGACCTCATATATGTATATGTATAAAAAGCACTAGAAGAGGGATATTTCAATCCCAAAAGCAGCAATCCCAGTATGTGATCATAAATTGTTTGCTCATAACTTAGACATACACCCATGCATATACTCAGATGAATGTGCATACAAAGATTTTTAATAAATTAACAATCAGTGGTTATATGTTAATATAGATATACCTTTCTCAGGGACTGACAGATCAAGTTGACTAAAACTCATTGATGTACAGGATTTGAAGAACACAGTTACCAAGATTAATCATAACTATATTTAAAGTGGAAAAAAGTGCATAATTCTGAAATTCACATGGAATACCGGTAGAAACGAACCATGTGTGAGATGGCAAATGAAAGCTCAACAAGTGCTGAAAAAGCTGAAACCATGCAAGATATATTTACTAATCATAAGGCAGTGAAATAACTGAAAATGCTCTCCTTGATCTATACTATTAAAGAAAAGCACATGGGTTAAAAGGGACATCACAATAAAATTGAACACTTTTTAGAAATAGAGCACCATATATTAAAACCTATGCTAAGAGATCAGAAGAAAACCATAGCTTTAAATTTTACTTATGAGGAAATAGAACTATTAAAAATAGTGTATTAAGCTTTGAACTGAAAAGCTAATAAAGGAGGAAAGAAACAGAAATCAATGGAATAGATTATACTTTCCTACTCCCCTAAAATAGAATGAAGAAATAAAACAAAAATCGCCCTGGCTGGCATAGCTCAGTGGATTGAGCGCAGGCTGGGAACCAAAGTGTGTCCCAGGTTCAATTCCCAGCCAGGGTACATTCCTGGGTTGCAGGCCATAACCCCCAGCAACCGCACATTGATGTTTCTGTTTCTCTCTCTCTCTCTCTCTCTCTCTCTCCCTTCCCTCCCTAAAAATAAATAAATAAAATCTTAAAAAAAAAATTATAAAAAAAATAAAACAAAAATCTGGTTCTTTGAAAGAAAATGAAAGGGTTAATTCTTCAGTAAATTTAGTACTGAAAGAGAAACAGTATGCAACTATCAGCAACATGAGACGTAGGAGATATTAAAATTGGTATGTATATTTTGATAGACATTTTTGCAAATATATACAAATATTTTAAATCATAGGAATGATCAAATTTGCCCTAAGAAAAATAGACTATTTGAATAAAGTATAGCTATAGGAGACACTGAAGATAGGCAAATAGCTACCCTTAAAAAAGCACCAGGCCCAGACAATTTTACCAGACTTTGAGGGGAGAGACAATTTTATATTATGTAAAATTGATGAAGATAATGATAAAAGATTAAAAGCCACCTACTTATATTATGAGGCAATGACACCACGAGATACCAAGTTGTTAACCCCTGCAAGGCAAATAAAAGTGTTTGGTACAAACAAATCATCTGTAAACATTAAATATTATGGAGTCACAACACAAGATTTCGAAGTGGAATGAGATAAATTGGGGTAAGAAACTGCAGCTTAAGGAGCTATTAAGTGTAGGGTAAAGATTTCAATTCCAGTTTATTGTGCCCAAAGCCTAGGAAACTTTAACATGTGATTCAATTAAAGTTAGAAAACGATTATTTTCTAAAGTAAATATGGTACTTAGAAACTTGTTGTAAATACCTATTTCTTCTCTTCAAGGCTTTGTTCTGCCCTTCCAGAAGAAGTCACAGCCAGACTCCACCCGACTGCTGTGTCACTGGGGATCCTGTCAATACCTCCTCCAAGTTAAATTATCTTCTCAGAGAGCACCGCCTGTGGGAAATTTATTTCTCCAGAATGTGTAGACCAATTATTTCTAGTATTTCTTAGAGATATTTTACCTCCAGTAACTCACATAACATGTTTGGGAATCTCTCCCTTTAACATACGGTCCCTCTCCACAATTTGTTTTTTACCCTCTCTAAGGGTTAAGGAGTACTGCGTGCTTAGTGTGATATGGAGATGAGAGGGGAAGGCAGGGAGATGAGCTACTTACCTGTTGGGGATTTTGACCCCATATTTAGAAATGAAGCAAGAAATGAGGACTAAAGGAAGGACAGCAAACAATTGCGTTGGCTTCCATTTTACTGCTAGGGTGCATTAACAAAGAAGTTTGAACCTAAAGAACAACCTTATTATAGAGGCCCAGAGTTTCAGCTTCCAGCATTTTTTTTTTTTGACATCCTGCCAAGCTTAATGTATAGTTCTCTTAGGGTCTTTCGGTTTTTACACTATTATAACAATGAGGCTGATAATAATTACTTCTTAACCTTCTAACAATACCATTTACAGTAACTCACAAAAATGATGAACCTGGAAATCCACAAAATGATGAACAAAATTTCTAGAAAGAAAATTGTAACTTGTGAGATATTAACAATGATATAAATAATGGAGTCATGTCATGTTCATGAATGACAAAAGTCAGTATTATAATGATGATCCCTCCCTCCAAAGATACACAGACTTAATGCAATTCCATTCCAAATCCAATATTACAAGAGAATTTGATGTAGTTGATCACTCCTTCTTGAGACACTCTGTTTCTTTTGCCTCATCAGCAATTCTTCAGCATCCTTTGCTGCTAAATCATTTACACATCCTTTAAGATTTGCATGTTCTAGGGTTCGGCCTTAGACCATTTTTCTGTTTTCTATCTGTACTTTCTGTTTTCATTGTCTCTTCTATTTTGTCTATGACTCAATACCACATATAGTGTGATTCTCAAATTTTTATCTCTAGTCCAGGATTCTTCCTTGAGCAACTTAAATGTCAAATAGGAATCTTACATGTCCAATATAAGACTTTTGCTTATTGCTAATCCTGTCTAGGAGTTGTTTCTGATTCCTCTCTTCCCCACATTCCCTACATCTAATCAATCAGCAAGCTTCTTTTGGCACTTCCTACACAATACATTCTAAATGTGACCACTTCTCAACACCTCAACTACCACCATACTAATCTAAGCTACCATTCCCTCCCACCTGGATTTGTTTTCCTTGCTTCTCAACTGTTGCCCCCTTACTGTCTCTGGGGTCTGTCTGCAAAAGCCTGGTGGCAGTGAGGACTGTCAACGCCACTTCCAGCAGTTGCTTGGAATCCCAAGGCTGGTCTGGCCATCTTTGGCTACTGGGCAGGGGAATTCCTAAGTCCAAAAGCGGCTGAGGTTTCCCCCAGCTGGGTAAGGGAGTCAGGAAAGACCCGGACTGGGTGCAACTCTGTTTTACCCCAAACCAGGCGAGCCACTTCAGGGATTCATTCCCGCTAGGAATCCTCTGAGTGTTCGAAATGGACCTGGACTCTTGTAGAAACTGCTGTGGTCCTAGAATAAGTTTTAGGGCTCTCCCTAGGGGGGCTGCAATAGGAGAAGCAATTGATCTACTCTCTCACAACCAGTGGGCTGTTTTCCAAAACTCTCTACTCTGGGGTGTTCTGCTTAGGTCTGGAAGCCCTGGGGTTTACAAGGTGACCCAGGAGCCTCTCCGATGAAGCCTGGGTAGGTCCAACCGGCCCTGGCTATATTGTCCCTGCTAAATCTGAGGGCGAAGAGGAAGAACTCACCTCCATCCCCCGAACTCATCCACCCACCCGCCTGCCTACTAGCTGCATCGGCCTCCTCAAGGCCTTTGTTCTCAGTCCTGGAAACTTGTCATCTGGGATAAAACAGGCCTTGGGTGCCTAGGGAGAAGCCCCGTGATTCCCCAGTGCATTTCAGAGCAGCCCTTGAAGAGCCTGGAGGCTCGCTGCACACTGGCCTGCTGCTTCTGCCGGGCAGGGATCCCTTCCTGGCTCTGATGGTGGAAGGACCCGTAGGAACTTGGCCTGTACTTGACTGGGCTGCCAACTCTCACGCTTTACGTGCTCCCTCTCTGCTGCCGCTGCCCCCGGCAGCCTCTTTCTGTAGTCCCTCCCTGAGGGCCCAGGTCCCGGTCCCGCACCTGATCCCTAGCGGCAATGACCCAGGCCCGGCTTCTGCGGAGGCCCTGCTGAGCGGTCTTCCCACTCTCTCTGCACCTCCCAGCAGCCCCTGCGTGAGACTGCTGGTCGGATCCCTCCCGCCCCGAGCCTGGCCCGCCCCCGCCCCCCCCCCGCCCCGAGCCTGGCCCGCCCCCCCCTCCCCGCCACCAACCCACCCCCCACTCCCCCACCCGCTTGCCCCCGGCCCTGGCCTAGGTTGGGGTTTTTCAGCTGCGTGGTTCCGTGGTTCCAGGAGGCCGCGGCCATTGCCTGTGGTTTCCCGCGAGGTTTCCTTCCTTCTGCTGCCGACCCAGCCCATTCAAGAGCCGGCTTCTCACACTGGCCAGGCGGGGTAAACAATTAGGGCAAGATTTGGGGGCTGCTCAGAGTTGGAAGTTCTTTTCGGTACCGGAAGGAAGAGGACACACATGACCTCTCGCTTTCCTCTGCCCGCACAGCAGATGCTGCCAACGCACTCCAGCACCCATTTCTTGCCCCCGCCCGCTCGGAGGGAGCAAGAATTTCTCGTGGGGTCTTGGGGGAGGTTGCGGAAAGGGCGCACCAGTCAGCTTCGGGCAGCTGGGTCCTCGCGCACGCGCCGCAGCGGCCTCCTCGGCAAGCTCAGGTCTCAACGTGCCGACCACAGGGTGGCGCCAGCGGCCTTCCGCGGAACACGCTCAGAGCTCCCGGGAACACAGGTCAGAGAGCTCCCTCAGTGGCCTGTCCATCTCGCAGCCAGGTTCCAACCACTAGTTAACTGTGGAGCTTAAAAAAAAAAAAATGTATTAATGACTTTCTTAAGTACCTGATTTACAATATTCTATTCTATTTACAATAGAATATGTACAAAATTCCATTCTATTCTATTACAATAGAATATTTATGATCGATGAGTGGCAAGCAAATTTGTGAGCTAAGAAAACTATGAATACTCAATGGGTTTACAATATTGTTTTTTGGGGGGAGGCAGGTGGGGGTAAATGAGTGAAACAATTTCTTCTAAGTTATTTGAGAAAATATAAAACACCAACTTATCTTCAATGTATTCCTTTTACTTGAAGATGTACCCTAGCCTATTGTGATGCAGCCGGATTCATGGAGGAGTAGATCAGGTATAGAGCTATGCATAAGTTTGTTGCCTAGATAAAGTAAGGTGTGGTATTCAGTATTTCTTACTTACCCTCTCTTTGCTTTGCTCTTATGACTCTTCCTCCACAGCCAAGCACTTTTTGGTGATAGTATAAGGAAGAGGGAAGGTCTTGAAATGAAAGTTGTCATGAATTCTGCCCTACCTCTATTATGTACCAGGATTCAGAACATCTCAACATGGGCCAGTGTATCCACTTCTAACACATAGCTTTGCCCCTAACACCCATGAGTATAAGATAAAGAAAGACACAAAAATTTACCTCTGGCTTACAGTGCCTTTGTGTCTTTGGTACACTCAGATTTTTTTCCCTTTATTCCCAGGGTGATGTATCATGAGGTGGGATGGGTGAGAGATATGCCTTTCTTTTGTAAACTGGGAGAAGGGTGTGTGGGCAAGGGTAGGTGGGAAAGGAGAACCAATTTTGAACATTTACCACAGGCATGTTCTTAGGCTGTGCAGTATAATGAAACAGTGCACAGGGAAGTCGATGATTTGGACCTTGATTCCCTCAAGCAGTTTGCTTCTACTGCTAACTGGTGAAATTCTAAACCCTGACCTTGATTTTAAAAAATATTTTATTTGGTTATTTTTAGAGAGAGGGGAGGAGAAAGAGAGAGAGAGAAACATCAGTGTGTGGCTTTCTCTCTCACGTGCCCCCCCCCCACCCCACGGGGACCCAGCCCTTAATCTAGGCATGTGCCCCAACTGGTAATTCATCCAGCGCCCCTTTGGTTCACAGGCCAAGGCTCAATCCACTGAGCCACACCAGCCAGGGCATAAATTTCAAGTCTTCACTTTACTGTGTTGCTCTTGGTGAAGAGCAACAGTGAGTGGGCTCACCCTTCCACTCCATGGTTCCTGGACCCATATATTCTTTCTACTGGGGTCACAGTGAATATATGGCATCCTAGAGAATGGCACCTCCATTGTATCTTCCAGTTGTTCCTTCGGCAGGCTGTCCAACTCTCCTAGGCCGGCCAGTCAGCAGTTTCTGGGTGGTGCGGTATATGATCTGCCCATGTCTGGCAGTCATGGCCGCTCCTGCACTTTCACTCCTGCTGGCCTGGTTACAGGCTCTGCAGTGCAGGAGTCCATGCCTGAGGATCAGGCACTCCAAAAGCCCCTGGAGAGTGTGCTGTCTGAGCTGGGGGTGGGAGAGGAAAGGCAAACCCATACCTGTAGTACATGTTGATTCCTGTGAGAAAACAATGGCCCTGCCAGGATGGAGGGGGCCCAGTGTAGCCAATGGGATACCAGGTAGCCAGTGGTATCCTCAAGGTATAGAATCCCAGAAGAAGCTCAGCCTTGGTCTCTGCTGCTGGCAGGTTGAACATTTGGCAGCAGCACTAGCTGCATGAGCCGTGGTGAGAGTCCGTGATGTTGGGCCACATGTAGACTCTATCTCTGCCACTGTAGCTGGTCTGCTTCTGTTTGTATTACACTGAGTGTCTCTTACTTGGGAGATGTTCTCTGCTTAACAGGTGATAAAAGATCTTCACACTTCACGCCCACTGCCCTGTGCCCACCCACATGCTTCCACCACGGACCTCCCTGTTCTTACTCTTCTAATCTTCCTCCTAAGTGCCTCGATCAGCCAATCAGGGCGTTTGCCCCTGCCTGAGGTCTGGATATAGTCTCACCTGGATGATTTCTCTGTGTGCATGAACTGGGTGACTCCGGTCGCCACCTGAAACCCTGCCAACTGGGATGACTTTACTCACCACTACCTTTAAAGGCCTCCCATGAGTTGCTGTACATTTTCAATTTGCAGCCTCAT